GAGTGGGCTGGTGCGATAACCGAGTACAAGACCGCGCCTTGGACTCGTGCAATCCGTGAAATTGATCCCAAAGAGTCTCTTTTGGACGTGCTCGTGGCCAACAAGCTTTGCACCCATGCCACGTTTACACGACCACTCGTATCGTATCGTCACGCCGAACTATCCGAGATGTTGCTCGACTTTTATCATACTCAGCGCTCGAAGCGGTACTCGGACCGTCGCCGTGCGTTTGTGCGAAAGCTGGCGCCCAAGGCGACTCCGCTTCGGTTTGCGGTTCATCGCCGCGAGGTGGATGGGGTCGCTCGATTCGACGAGGAAGAGATGGACGAGTTTGATTATGCCGAGGGATGGACGCCAGGTGTCGAGTGGGGGTGGGTTGGGTTACCTGTCCCTCCGAATGCGGCTATCTGGAATGAGGACCTACCCGCCAAGAGCCCTGCGCGCCCGACTACGTACCTGTCGCCTTCTGGCTCTATCGACCACGACGTTCCTACACCTGGTCTTTCCACCGGGTCCAGCGCGACGTCGACCTCGGATGAGTCTCCGCCCACGGTTCCTCGCGAGCTTGCAGAGCCCAAGGAGCGACCGGTCACGGCGGAAAGCAAACGACGCCAGTCATTTTTATCTGTCAAGCTGTCCCGCCGAAAGAGCGACGCCGGTGTTCGTCAATCTGCCAACCTTGAAAACGATGTCGTCCCGCCTCTTCCCTCGATAAACGCTCCCAACACCCCTGAAGCACGTCCTCTTCGTCGTTCACGCTCGTCCATTGAATGGGGCTCTCGTGAAATGACAAGCGAAACAACCCGGGCTACGGCTGCTGAAGCCGAGGCGACCAAGACTAGGGCTAAACCGGCTCCGGCTGGTCGTCTCTCGCGCTGGTTTGGGACGACTATCAAGTCGATTGTGCCCGGCGGACGACCCCCTCGGCCTGTGAATCCTGCGGACCAGATTCGCGCGCCTGGAAAGAAGAATGTCGACGCGGGGCCAGAGGTTGCGGGTGAGAGACAAGAGATTCTTTACCCGTGCTATTATAATAACAATGAATAAAGTTCCTGTTTGATTCTTATTAGAGTGTATCATTGTCTTTTGGTTTCGTTTGGATTACTGCTCGTTCCTTATTCCTTGCTAGATACTCTAGATCCACATCTGCTCGTTTTGTCGTTTGCCTCCCGTCTCTTTTGTATATTACTTCTGGCGTGCCAATTAATAGGCATTATTGCATGAAGACCTGATGTTCTGTTGCCCGTCTTGCTGAGTACCGGCGCGCATATATCCACGAAGCGGCACTTGCAGGTGAACAGCTCCTCAGAAACAAGGGCATGTAGCGCAGTTGGTAGCGCGCTCGCTTAGCAGGTCAAGTCCGGATTCGAACCGAAACGGATTACGTAAGGATTGCATGCGAGAGGTCTCCGGTTCAAATCCGGACTTGTCCACTCTCTTTTTGCCCGTAAATGAACGAAAACTGACTCCATTTTGCTTGTGAAGGGCTCCGGAGTTCCACCACTTGAGGGAGGTGGTCACGTGACAACGCAGGTTAAGCGCCGACTAATATAATGATTTGTGCAGAGAGCAGCAGAAAGAAAGTTTAGAAACGATCCTGCACATGCCTCCACTAAAAACATTCACGTTGGTGTATGTTAGCAGCTAGCTGGCACTAGTTTACCCACTACTCACTGCCCCTTCGTGCTCAGAATATTTGTCGAGTTTGAACGCCGAGTTTTCGAGTAAACAGGGGTTGCCTCCAAATGGGTATCATCACTTGCCGAGCCCGGTCTCGGCCAACCGACAGACCTTTATCGATCGACGGGCCCGTCAACCACGACAATCTGGGCGCTTTGCGATGTAGCGAGCGCCTGAAATCCACCAAGTCGGGATTTGTTGGTGGGTGTTTGCGGCTGCCTCAAACCGCTCACGAGCTAACGAAGAGCGCATACATAGCACGATTATTCACTGGAAAGGTGCCTTGAACCGGGCATGTTAGTATCCCAGCGAAGTTACGGATCTTGTGCGGATAGGGGGCGTTCGAGACCACATACAATTGCTTCTGTTCCTTCCATAACTGGCGATCCTTGCTGCTCCGCCGAGTGGGCTTGTTTGGCTCAGGAGCTCGCAGAGGGATATATAAACCTGGGCGAGACGATGTTTTCCTGCGCCCATCCACCACCACCTCCCACCTTTCTCCCCTTCTTCTCCCTCTCCACGTCGTCCTTGGTTTCTTACTCGTAAGTGATTTTGGAGGGTTGTTTACCTTTTGGCTAATAGTCGTTGGCATTTCTCGTCGTTTCCCTCCAAGTCCCCTGCCTTCCTTGTCTTTCCTACCTGATGACTTGTCCTCGTCGAGTTCATTTTTAAAAGAGCTATAAGCCACTAAAAGACGCAAAAGAGGCATAAAAGAGGGAGAATACCCCATTAAACAAGGGCAGCCCACCTGAACAAAAAAGTAACCACCCCCGACAAAAGCCGCAAAGACAAAAGAGAAGAAGAGACGACCACGCGGCCCG